GTATTTCTGAGCAAATGTGGAAATGGATAGAACAGGGAAAGGAATGTCCATTTTAAAGTGAGCTTGTAATGTTCACTTTGCATGCCCAACGCTGACAAAAATATGCTTTGGCATACTGCATGCTTGGTATGCATTAGCTCCTGTCCCGGTTTTAAGTGGGCTACAATGTTTTCTGGATAGTGACAGTTCTGCAAAAATAAGTTACCCTTTTCTTCTAAAATCCTGCATGAATATCAGATTTTTCTGCTGCATTTCTGTGACTGAGTTCTACATGAATGGTACTGACAAAAAGCAAATGTTAAGCAGGGACTTCATTGGTATTTATGTTAGAACTCATTTGTATTACATTGGAGAAGGCATTGGTAGTCATGGAAGAAAGAGAGAAATCTCTGTCAAAAGAGCTCTGTCACGTATTAGCCTTCCTCTGATGTTATTATCCCTGTTTTAAGCAACATTAGCAGGTATATTGTGCATCTGTGAATAATAAAAAATAGGGAAAAAGAGATTATATTAGACATTTATTGGAACTGAGAATATTTTTTGGTCTATTTTTGCTGCCTTTAAGGAGTCCTTGTTCATGAATATGGTTTGTAGGCAATAGGAAATTTAACTAAAAAATAATTAATTATATTGCATCTTGCTCTTGCTACCTTTTGTTCAGCCAGGTAGGATTAAAAGACACAAAGTGGGAAGATTCATACGTTGCTCAGGTATGTTAATCCTTCTTATTGTCAGATACTCATCTGACTTTTCCCTGAGTCCAAGGTCTGGTGATTTCTCCAGAACCCTCCCCTTGTAAAAATTTTGCCCACCAAAAGGGGTAGAAAACACATTACTATACTCAGTAATTACTCACAGTAAATGAACACAGGTCAACTTTTCAATATTTGTGTTAGTTTTTTGTAACAAACCTTGTCACCTACTGAGCTTATATAATGAATTAAATAAAGGGGACCAAAGCATTATCAAGGAGTATTACCAACCAGAAAACAATCCAACTTCATCATGTTAATGCCTTAGTTCTATTCTGCAGTTTTCATTACACAGAATCTACGAATTTGGGTTGCATGCCCTTCATCTTTCTAGCCACAACACTCAGATTTATGACAGCATAGATTTCCCATTGGAACAGATGGTATCCTGAAGCAGAATTTATTAAAGCTTCATTTCCCAGATCCTTTTCTGTAGCGCTTTTGCTCATTCTCCTCCTTTTCCTAATGTGACAGAGCACTGTATATCTCTGACACTGAAATTAGCACAAAGACGTGTGGTTCCCTGAAAATCTGCTATGCACAAATAATCATTCAGATTGCTGACCTGCTGAGACTCCTAGCTGGCAATCACACAGCAAAGCCTGGAATTTCTCCTACTTGGTGCTGCTCCACCATTTCCTTATCCTGACTTCTATGCTGTTATGCATCTCCCATGTCTGACATTAGAGAAAATAATCAGCTGGGGTTTAGGACCTTTATCATTCTATGTCTTATGTGTAAGTATCTTGGCTTAGTAAGAGGACAGATAGGTATCAGAAAAAGGATGCGACTCAACAAAATTAGGCCAAGTGAAAAGTGTTAAGGTTTTCAGGAAGTATTATAATTTCAGTTTTTCCATAAATCAGATTTTTAACAGATGGGTGAAATGTAGGTCAAATGCAGCAGACATCTTCGTAAGCATTTGCTTTAATGGTTTCCTTGATAATTTCTGCCTCTGTCATCACATGATAAAGAAGGGTTCAAATCAGTCCATGCAGACCACTTGCAATAAACAAAGGGTACTGACTGAGGGCAATCCTGCAAAATAAAGGGCAGGACTGTGGCATTCACGTTTGCCTTAGGCCAATTTCATCCTGGATGGACACTGGATAAAGCAACAGCATTGCAGGCAGGCAGAATTTGTACCCTTGTTAATAAGTATCGTGATACATTTTATGAACAAGATTACACACACCGAGGTGAAGTTCTTAAAATCACAGAGCACCAAAAGGCCAACCTAGGACAGAATAGGAGCCTTGGCTTTGAATTTTCCACTTCTTGCCAGCTGAGTATCTGAGATTTACATATCTGCCTTTGGATTTTGAAAAAAGCTATGTGGGATATAGAGCCACCTCCTCAAAACTATATTTTGTTTATTCTCAGTCATTTCATTTTAATAGCTCACAGCTCCTTTAGTAAATATATATTTATATATGTATATGAGAATTTAAATGATCAGAGTTTCAAATTAGGTATTCCTTGGGGCTGTGAGGGCCCACTGTATAAACACATCATTGCTCACAGGCATGAGGGATGTAGTTGCTCCTTTGGAGCTTTAAGAGGCTCTGATGTTGATGCTGTGCCTGCTGCACATGCTGCTGGCTCTCATCTCATGACGTACACAGAGCTCTGCGAGCACGGCTCTACCCCTGCAGCTGCTCAATGCATTGCTGGGCAGAGAGGAAACAGAGATCTCTGCTACTTATGTCATCTAGCTCTAAGTGTAAAAATAAACACACACAAAAAAATTCAAAGTAATCTGTCGTGTTACTCTTTCTTCATGAACACCATTCTCTCACAGTTGTTTTCCTCATATCTGATATATTTCCTTAAATTAGACACCATGTTTCTTGTTTTATGTCACTAATTGTGTGCCACCAGGATTTGAATCCACAGGAAAAGGTCAGTCAAACTCAGAAATTATTTTTCTAATTTATTTCTAAATTTGCTTAGTTCTGAGTCTGAGACCAAAATATTTTGAATATTGTAATTTTTTTTAATAGGCTTAATTTGTTTATGTAGTCTACCTAGAGAAGCCTATGTGCTTAATTCAACAGAATGGCCATTCACCTTAAAGACATACTTAAGTACTTCCTTTTTTGGCATCTCTGGGTAGAGCTGCTAATAGGAAATTACAGTTACTGATACTGAAAGATGTACTGATTTCAAAATCCCTGTCTTAGGGATTACAGATTTGAAATCTGTACAGAAAACAATTCTTGAAAAAGATTAATCTCCATGGGCCAAAGGCAGGTAAGAAATGATATTGTTTCCCTGCTGTACTCTGGGGAATCACTGCTATTAAGTGCAAGTCAAATCTGTTATGGGACAGATGAAGGCCAGGCTGGGTCTTCCTCTGCAAGCCTTGCATTAAGAGGGGTGCAACAGGAAGCCTCTGTTTGGGGCCTAAGGACAACATCCACTGAAACTGAAATCAGTTGTAATCTTTCCATGGCACAAAATAGCTTTCGCTATGATCCAACAGGAAAATATATTTTAGCTCATCAATGGGGTGAGTGGAATTGATCATCTTTGCTGCCAAACTGTTTGTTTAAAAGGAATATGCAAAGTCCATAGCAGAAACATGTTAATAAACCACTGTTTTGGTGATACTTCTAAGCTCTTCTCTGGGAACACTCATCCCGTAAATATATTTTTTGGTATTTCTGAAGAATAGCTGCCAGTACTTGTTCTGTCTCTGTTTCTGGTTCTTCTTTGCTCTCTTCTCTCTTGTTGCACTAAATTAATTTGGTGGTTCTTCTCTAATGCATACAATAATAATAAGAGCAAGAGACAAGTGAGCTGGATAGGGTCATAAAAGCCTTTAATGAAGTCACTACTCTGGTTTCACCAGAAGTTACACAGAGATGTTTGTATCCTTCTTATCTTACCCTGAAGAAACCTTGCAACTCTCTTTTCATTAAAGAGATTTAATCCAATTTATCACACCTGCATGTTATTTGGTCTTCCTTCTAGATCACACAAAATCAGAGAAGTATCTTTGTCTCTCTTTGGTTTTTGGCAACTGGTTGCCTTGGAAAATACTTGGGTGTACTGGTGAACTGCTCTTGACTGAAAGGGCCACCCACATAAAAGGCTACACACTCCTCTTCATTGCAACTCCAGGCTGAAGACTCTTTTGACACTATAAGCAGTTTGGGATACGTACTGATCAAATATAAAAATATCTTTGATAGAAAATTGCCTGTATAGAATAAGTATCTCACAGGTTAGTTACCTCACTTTTATGAGAAGAGGAAGAATACTGTGACTTGTGACTATGCCTAAGCTCTGAATGATGGGCCATTTAACTATGATGTAAAAACTCTTCAATAAACATATCTTCATGTTTAATGACTCATATTTTGAGGATGGATGGTAACAGCCATTTTGCCTTTCTCCACCTCCAGGAGGGTTAGAAATTAACTCTTTCTCCCTTTCACATTCTCACTGTTGTAGCACACAGCAAAAAAATGCTCGTGTCTCCTTGCTTGATGTCCCCTGAAATTATGCATAGTAATGGATTATCAAAGCAGAGCTGCTCTGATTGGTAAGGACATTTTTCAAAATGGAGCTTTGACATGGCATAGAAATTGTGCTCTGGCTTCTAAACTGTACTGACATGGATTTGATAAGGTGCAGAGGCAGGGCTGGAACCACAGTTCCCAGAGTTGTGTCTCTTTTCCAGTACACTCACCCTGCCAGGAAGGACAGTGATTTACCCTGTGATACAGCTCCACAGCCACATGGCACGTTACCTCAACTTCTACCATTTAAAAACAGCCCAAATTCAAAAACTAGAGAATAGAAATTAGTCTGACAAAGAGGACATTTCTCAGAACTGTCTATCTTCAAAATGCATTCTGTTGGTCATAAATTTTGAGTTATTACTTTCTTTTCTAGGCAAGAAATTACTGCACATTTTCCTGGGGAGAGAATTTCCCTTTGAAAGGCAGTGAGAGAGACTGGATAAATGATGAAAGGTTTGCAGAAGCTGGTCAGCTGCCCAATCCTTAGAAAAGTTTCTGGCAAGATGCTTTAAGAGACGGACACTTGCATGTCCATAAACATCCATACACATGTTCATTTACACAGCACACAGAAATGTCTGCTACAATCCAGGCCTCACTGCTCCCTGTGCTGTAAAGATAGAGCTCATATCTAAAATTTAATAAACTCCACAACTGATGACATCTGCAAGGTGGTCGATCTATATACAGATATTCAATTTATACTCTGAAAAACTTAATTTTTCTGCCTTTATTGGAGTACTGCTTGAATAAAGATCATAAACCAAATTTTTAATGGCAATGTATACCTTAATATCTTGTTTGAGCAACAATGGAAAAGGAGAGAAATAAAGAGAAAGACTTTATTTTTTCTTCACTCTTTGTTTTACATTTAATTAATTTCCGTTATTGTAACTGAAAAATAGCAGACATTAATAGATAAAATGTTTGTCATGGTGCATTTAATTTTTTTTTTGTTAGTGAGTGCTATTCCCTTCAATTTCAAATCCAGTTCAGACTGCAGATCATTAATAAAGTTGACTGATGAAACAAATTCCACTCTTTGTAATCTTAAACTCTGAAAGATTTACTAAATTCTCATGTTCTTCAATCTTATGTGACTAATACAGTCAGAAGAAAATATAAAAATTGCAGCTGGGCAGATAAGATTTAGAGTAAGAAAACCATTACCTCGTAACAAACCAAATGTTAAATTGAGTTTGGATGTTGCTCAAAGCAGAATGTAAAGTAGTGGGAAGAGCTTGTGAACCCCCTGCTGCTGGGCGAATCGCTTTTCCTAGTGCAGCAGCAGTACTTAGATAATCAAAATAATAGACTATACATTTCTATTTCAGTTAAACAGGAATAATTGTGAATAAACTTACTACAAAATATTTTCCACCACTAAGCATGGCATTTTGTACAGAAAATTGCCACCCCATGGTTTTCAAAGGCCTTGAGCCACATGAACTTTTTCTATAAGCAGTTGGGTTTGAAGGGTAAATTGTTCCTGGACAGATGGCCCACTGGATGGGTAAGGATGGGAGCTTGCCATCAGTGTCTGATGGCCAAGGGTAGATGAGGCTGAGCCCTTGACTGTTGATTACACTGTTATTTGTGGAGCAAATGTGCTGGACGATGTTCCCATCTCATGCAGGTTCTCAGGGCATCAGCAGAACCTCAGGCTCCACACGCAAAGATGACCATGTGGTTCAACATCTTCAGACATCAGACCCAGGTTTTGCTTGAGATCCAGTGGCCCTAATCTGCTGAGGAATTTTTCTAGGTAAGCAATAAATTGCTCTTCTTTCATACTTACATATCCATCTCCTCTTTTTTCCTCTACTCATCAAGTGCAGAAGAGAAGTTTGCTGGCTGAAGGCAAGGTAAGGAGGGGAGGAATATTACACCTCTCTGTACTTGTCTGATCTTGGAAATGCTGATGCAGAAGGCAGAGCCACATTGTCTCTGTTCTCATTAGGAATCCATAGCTAACATTCCTCACGGGACAAATATTCAACTGGAAACTTTAGGAAACAGAAACCTCAGGTCTTCTGGGGTCAGTCACTCGAAGAAGGTAAGAGTAGTAAAAAAATGGAGACAATGTTCTGGCTCTATTTGCCAAGCTCTTTCCTCATATGGCTTGCTTTTGCCTGTACATGCTGGTGTCAGCTCTCCTTTCAAGTTCATCCAAAGCTAGAAAGAAGAGTAATCCGAGAATTGATTTTTGCTTATGTTGAACTCTGAAATATGTGTCAGATTTGAGCTTCAAAAAAAACTGCTTATTCACCCACACAGGATTCCATTTTTTTATATTCTCCTTTGCATTTTAACTGCACCCAGTGGACTCTTCTTTCAAACAGAGAAATCAGACACTCAGCTGAATACCAGCAGCTTTTGTGACATGTGTGCTGTGGTAAAGAGCCCTTGTTTCTTCTGTTGCTGCATAAAACCTGAACTGAGTGCTTTTCTCCAAAAAGAGTTAGTATTATACTTACTCAGATTATTTTTTAAAATTGATGGTACATAACTGTTGACTAGATGCTTACAAAAATTTTTCAGTCACAGTGAAAAATCTCAGTGATACAGTTACTCATGTTACAGAGTACCAATCACTACAGAGTTATAAATGAGAGCTATTACCTTGGATGATCTGTGGTTCACATTTCCTGAAGATGAACTGAACACCTACATTCAATGGCCAATATATCTAAAATGAAGCATAATCTTTAAATATTTATGTTACTCTGAATCTTTGAGAAAAATATGTAGGGCCAGCTTCAGGTCAGAGTCCTGTCTGGAGCAGCACAAAATCATAGAGTTTGACTGAAGTAAAATTGTTCCTTATTCTGAAGAGGAGAGCTAATTCTCAGGCAGCAAGCAAGTAACAGAGGTGATTATCCAGTACCTTGTGATTAGCATAATACTTATCTGTCACTGTGATATTGTCAGCCAGCACATGATCCATTTACTGTGCCACCTTGCAGCCATCAGCAAGGAGCACAGTGGATCCCAGCTAAGGCATGTATCAGCATTGTGGCCAAGGAACAAAATGCTTTTCCTATCCGAGGAAATTTATACTTATAAACCAGAGTGTATCGCTTGCCTGGAGTGGCAAATCCTTGCTCAGGCAGATTTCTTTCCTGTAGTCAGGCTCTGTAACAGTGTGACAATACTGGGGACCATCTGTACAACTTAGATCTGATCTTGTACAAAGATTTATAGCCAGGAGCTGTTGAAACAAGCAGGGCTCATATTTGTTTCCTTCAAGTGTTGATATGAACACACTTCACTCATGAGTCTATTTGCACAATGTAATTAGGAAGGATGTCAGCTTGCCTGACTGAGTTAAGTTTCACAGCTCTTATGTGCTTAAGACTGCCTCTGCTACTGGGGCAGCAAGAGTAGGTAGTTGAGTGCATAGACTCACTCTCAGGAACAGGCCAGGGGATGTGGCCATAGATATCCTCCCTTCTGTGCCTTTGTTCTCCAGGTACCCTCTTGTCCATGTTGCCTATTCAGGCTATAAGGAATTTTGGGGCAGGAATTTTTTCCATTGATACGTAGAGTGACATGGTACATAGTTTGAAGTCTTCACCAGCTCTCTACAGAATCACTGTAGTAACACCAGCATGCTGTTTGACAATTAAAATTGTGAAAGATAATTTATTCAGGCAAATAACACATTGACAAAGTTATGTTGTCTCCCAGTTCTTCACCCTCTGCTGTGCCATATAACTACAGAATATATAATTAAACAGCATTTAGGCTAAAGGGACCTTGATGATGAGCAGGACTTCTATATACTCCTATAATAGAAACTAAAGACATCATGAAGTGGTGACCAAATTACTTCAGGGGTAAGGTGAACATCAGTAATTGTTCTGTAGTGCTCTGGATGACAAATATATTGCCTTCATGGTCCAAGAGTGTTAAAGTTTGGGGAAGTAACAGAAAATAAAGGAAAGAAAGGAAGAAAGGAAGAAAGGAAGGAAGGAAGGAAGAAAGAAAAAGAAAGAGAAAGAAAGAAAAAGAGAAAAATAAAGAAAGAAGAAAAAGATAAAAGAGCAGCTCATATTGAACTGTAAAATTTTAGTTTAATAAATTGGAAATTGTGGGGTAGAGTAGGAAAGAGAGTGACAGAAAAATTCAATCTTTTTCCCACTGATATTATATATGTGTAATTGTAAGCCAGTGCAAAAGCCAGACCTGAGTGCATCTTGGTGGCATAGAAAGGAGCTAACTTTACCAAGCCTATCTTTTCTTGTTATGCTTCTAGAAAGATAAATGATTCATAAAGAACTACTTTTCATGCAAGTTTTTTTTTTTCTCCAGAAGGTACAGAACTCAATAAAAAAAACTTTCTGTTTCAACACAGCTGTTCCATGAACTATGAACTAGACTAAAGTAGATTTAAACTAGTTCCAGGTTTCAGCCTGGAAAATAATACCAGGATAGCTGCTGATTCCCTGTCTTACTGAGGTAATAGGAAAGTAACTTGATTTATAATGAGTCCCTTTGGCCTTGTTTATATATGGACTTGTGGCTAAAACTTCCGGAGGGAGGCATTCCTACTCTCATTTCTGACACTTACACCACTTTGTTTTGTAATTTTTATTTTTGGTAATCTCTTTTGTAAACAGTGTCCTGCAGAGACCTACAGTAGTGAGTCCAATGCAAACAGGACATCAAAACGCGTTACATTTAAAAACACATGCTGGTGTATAGTTAAGATTGGGACACTTAGGACTACAGCTTGTGACATTATATAGGGCTACACTATACAAACACTTGAAATGAAGAATTTCTCACACAGTTACTATTATTTTTGAGGGAGTTTATGTTTGGGTTTCTCAGCATCTTATCACATACTTTAATAACCTTTCCTTGAAAAATCCTCCCTCTTCCTTTGTATGTGACAGAAACCAGTTTGCAACCAGACCTGGGGATACCTTTGTTCAGGCAAAATAAAACAGACCTTGAAGGCAGCTGGGATTTGCAGGTAGTTCCAGCTCTGGGCAGTGCATGCAGCCAGCCTTGGGGGGAGCAGCCCGGCAGGCAGAGCCCACTGAGTGGCAGTGAGATCACTCACACTATGTCTCACCTGTACCACCCCTCTCGACCACTCGTTGCTCAGCTGCTGCCACACAGGCACTGCACAAAGCACCCAGTAACAATTTTGTGGTCCCCAGTGTCTCTCACTGCTTGCTTCCCCCTTCTGTCCCTGTTGCTGACAGGTAGGGGTAGCTGGAGGTAGCAGTGGGAGGGCTGGGCAGAGCAAGGTCTGGAAGGCTGGACAACTGCACATGCTTCAATCTAAATATAGTGGCTTCAATTGAAAAAGTATAACAAATGTAGAAATATGTAACATTCCCATATTTCATCTTAATCCTTATATTGAAAGGAAGTCCCATAATAAATTGGAAAACTATGACCTATTTGGGACTCACTCCAGCTTTACTGAGAGAATTAAATTGGGGGGCTTAGTTCTGTCTGGTAGAGTAGAAATATGTAAAAAGATTTGGCCCCTGTGGAAGATAGTTTCCAGTCTAATTCACTTCAGTGATTTCCGTGTTTGTCTTGCAGTTTGTCCTGCAATGAGATGGAATACCACACTGTGTGGGAATTTACTGTTTTGTAACTAGCTTTTGCAAAGAGAAAAGACTGCTTTGATAAAGATATCATTCCATTTAGGCAACATCCAAGTTTTCCCAACATCCAACCCTGGCCTTACAGCCTGCTTAGTTTGCTAATATACTGCAGGAGTGTATCCCAAGTTTCTCAGATGACTTTGATTATTTCCTCATGCATAAATTAGTGTGATCCTGAAAACTGTGCAGTTTACTCTCTGTGGAGATCCTGTATTTCTGGTTTGACATAGTCCTTCCCAGCTCCTTTTCATCCATCGAGTTTCTTGCAGTAGAAAGCAACAGCAGCACAGGCAGTGCTGAGACAAAGTGTCCCTACAGCCATGGAGCCACCACATTAAGATAGTTGACAAGGCAGCTTTTAAAAATCTCCTGACACAGCTGAGAAAGAATGTTTGCTCTAAAAACTTGTCTGACCGTATCAGTTAAAAAGAGTGACTCAACAAAGAACAAACTCCAGCCTCTATGATAGTAGCACAAATCTGAAATTACTTTCTAAGCCCTGAAGTGCTTTTACTAAAGATTTCCACTTGCAGAGGAATATCAGCTTTGGGCCCATATCACAAGCCACATTTTAATGATGGTCTAATGCAAATTTGCTCTAAGTGTGGCTAAAGTGCATATATGGCTTTCAGTTAGAAGAAATATATATCTAGAAATTCTAAAGAAACTTCTAAAGAAATATAAATCTAGGAAATTCTAGACTATTTTTTAGACACTAGTGAGGTAGAAGCAGCACTTGTGAATTAAAAACAGTCCTAGAGACAACCTTTGGACATTACATGCAGAAAGATTGATTCCTATCATCTTATCAGCCAAAGCATATGACTGCAGAACACACTAAGTGCTGGCAGGCTGTTTCCACTGCTATGACACAGGAATGACCATCAGATTATCTGCTTGAGTACAGAAGGTCAGCAATCTTGCTGGGATCTTGGAATACAGGGAGGACAAATTCCTTTTTGTTACCAGGTACAAGTTAAATGGAAAAAAAAAAAAAGAAAAAAAAAAAAAAGGAAAAGCAATCAATTTTAATGAGTGACTCTGTATTTACTGTTACAGCTGAGACCAGAGTTTGGCTCACTGTGTGTAGCTATATCTATGAATAACCTTCTTAACCTGTTGGAAAGCTAATGACGGAAAATGTTCCCCATAAAAGTATATATATTACAGCTGTATAAATATATTAAAAAACCCTAAACTGTCAGCAGGCTTATTGGCAGATGTATGAATGCTTTAGCAAGATCTCTGTACTCCACATAGCTTCATTTTTATCCTCTATCTACACACACACACAGGCACAGGCACACACTTGTATAGACTTAGTAACATTTAGAGTAGAAAACTCTTTGATCAGTTAGCTCCTCCAAGCAAACAGGATCTGTGGCAGAATACATGCTATGTTGTGCTGCTTATGAAACACATTTTATAAGATTTACCTGGTTGCCAGCTGTAAAATTCAGCAGGCAATCTATATAACAATCCCAAGACCTAAGAAAGAGAGGGTCTTTTTTTCTCCCTTCATATCTTCCAGGGGAGAACAAGAGACAGCTTATGATGGCACTGAAATCTCCCCATAGATGCCCCAGCAAGACCAAAGGGATTTCTTGTTTTCTAGCTCCATAAGTTGTTTTTATCGTGGGCTAGTGGCAAATTTTTAAGGGCCAGGTAAGAAACATGGAGTAGGTGTCTTTAAGTCCCTCTGCCCTTTGGTATTTCTTCTGGAGACATATGAATGACAAATTAAAGGCTAAACCCTGACTCAAACTTGTATGTCCACTATTCTGTGGAAAAAAAGGGGGAGGATTTTACACATACTTCTGGTATTTTTAAAAGCTAATAAAAGTTAAATGTCTATAACTGAGCAGCTATAGTGACTAGTTAGTTTTTTTGGCAAGAGTGTTAAGACATATTTACAGCATGCAATTGGAAAATAAGCTTGTTATATGTTATAATTAAACTATTCCCAGTGACAGATTAAGAAAATATTGGATATGTACAAAATGACAGCATTAAACAATGAAAGTATTTCCTGAGGAGCTGAGCCTTAGCAAAAGCCACAGACAAAATATTTTTAGTGGCATTCCAACACTCTGTGTTTCAGAGCCATTTATAACAGAGCTCATTATGAGATATTCCTTTCTGCTACAGGCCACAGCTGGATATATCAAAAAATTAAAGAAATATTTACCTATGAGAAAGAGTCACAGTACCTGGCTTTATTTCATACAGCTAATTTCTCCTCTTCAATCCATCATGTGGGTTCAAGAGAAGAATTTGCTCTTATGTCTCCAAATCCTAAGTACCTGCCTCTCCTGAGAACTGCTATAAATCCAGTCATTCCCAAATGCATGAGCAAAAAAATCACAGAAAAATACTTGTGCAGGAGCCTGTCAGGGTAGGAGGATACCTGTACCTGTGGGCTGTAATTGCCTGCTCCCTTACATCCTCCTACAACAAGGCAGCTCTGAACCCTCTTAACAGCACATGCAAAATGGATCCTGACTTCAGCTATTGTGCTGGGCATGAAAACTAGCTTTCAAGTGAGTCATGCTGCTAAAAGCTCAGGTATACTTTCTTGTCTCTGTAGAACAGCTAAACCCAACCACTAAACAAATTATAGCCCTTAAGGACTCAGATGGGGTGGTGAGGTGGAAGGTGAAAGGAAGAGAGCACAAGTGTGAAAGTGCATTGCCTCCGAGCAGCAGTAGCTTGAATACCTTGAGGGCATTAGGAAGAAAATGCTCAGAGAAGGCACTTTGTGGGTTTTGTGAAAGGTAAAAACATCATTACCTGCGAAGCTGGCCTGCAGGTTCGAGACAGTTGTGCTATTATGCAGTGGCACCAAAAAGGGAATTTTGTCCCCTTGGCGCTGGGCATGCATCCACCTTAATAACATTTGTGCTCTCTGCCTTGTCTTTTGGTTCATGACTCAAACCAGAACTTATTCCAACCATTTTGCTTTTAGGAGTTGCTTTTTAGCAGTGTTTTCCCCCTACCAGGATATGTCTGTTCTTCTGGGGTTTCCACCATATTCCTCCCAGCCAGGGCAGATGGCACAGTCAATTACTGACCTGGAAAAGCTGCTCTAGGGGGAAGAAATAAAGTGGGAGGAGGCAGAGAGGCATCATCACTTTGCTCGGGGGACATCTCAATGGAGATCTAGATTCAGTTTTCTTTCCTTTCCTCTCGTTCCTCTGTGAATGGTGTTGACAGAGTGTGTGTGTGTGTGTATAAACCTGCCAGGCTTCTGCAGTGCCTGGCTGGTGATCCTCTCCCAGGGAGCATACATGCAGGTAGAGCTGCCAGTTGGCTTCCCTAACTGTGCTTGCTGTATAAGTATGGACACTTTTCAAATGATGGCCCTTCTTTCGGAGAATATTAGTTCTTGCGTCTCTGGATGACTGCAAATTAGGTCATATCAAGTGCCACCTTGTCTTCTCTCCCTTTGTATGCACCTCTGTAAGCTGACTCTAAGAACACCCAACCACCAGTTGTATATACAGATGTGTGTAAATCCATGCCACTGTATGACAACAGCTCTGTCCTAGAAGTTAGAGAACAGGAGGATCACTTGGATCAGTTAGTTTCTCCCTCTGATGACCGGGGATGCAACACAGTTCGGAACAGCAAGGTAGAGCTTTGTAATAAAATGTCAAAGCATTCCCTGTTTTGGTTTTTTGTTGTTTGTTTTTGTTGTTGCTGTTGTGTTTATTTGTTTTGTTTGTTTTGCATTTGTGTGTGTGTGTGTGTGTGTGTGTTAGACAGCTGTCCACTTCAAGTATTTATTTAAGATCTTATACTTCTTCCACCAAAGACCATGGAGGTCTTGGAGGAATCATTGAGGAGATACAATGTCAGATGAATCGCATTTCATATTCTTCATAAATAAATAAACACCACTTATTCTAAAAAGGGTGATCTAGCTTTTTCTGATGGTATATTTTAGATCCCAACCTGTAACTGACAATGGTGAGTCTTGGCTCTAAGAAGGTGTGAGAATATTCATACTTTCAGCACCTCCTTTAACAGCCAGAACCACTATGATGGCAGATATTCTGAGCTCATAAAAAGATTGCATAGGCTTGTTCTAACCTGTGATTCTCCTTCTGTTTTGAATGATATATATGCTACATGATGGGATATCACTTTGAGAATCCAAGTCCTTTTATACCAGTGGAAGCGTAGTATAGCCAAGATAAGATTTTTTGGCATTTCTACTGGCCTGATTTTGTTTTACTGTCTGGATTGATGCTGTGAAAGCTTCAGAGAAAGCAAAGCAATACAGTGGTCAAAATTTCCTTATGGGGTAATTCCAGTAACTTGAGAATTTAACTAGGAAATCAGATGATTCTTTACAGAAATATATTAATGATATATTTTTTTTCCAAGAGGACTGCTAATGTACTGTAGCCGGGTATATTTGCTAATTGTTGAAAGCTTTTTCCATGAATCATATCACATTTTGATGCTAATTGCATAATAATTGAGGCATATTTTAGATTAGATAGGAGCAGCCAAATTCTATTAGTACATAGTGTAAAACCAGAATAGTTTATCTAGGATTTATTCCCCTAGTACTAAATATCACCTCCACTGAATAAAATGCAAAGTGTCTCAACTTAAATAGGGTAAAATGGATCCACTGGGAGTTATAGGGGAGGGTACCAGCAGAAGACAAATGGTTGAGTCCATAAAGCATGTAGAAGAAAAATGAAACTCAATAGAAAGATTATTCTGTTAAGCAATTATTCAGATATTACATGTTACATGTTCTCATGAATCTGTATTTACTGTGTATGGCTAAGAAAAAATATTTTTACTGTGAGGGTGGTGCAACAACCGCTGGAAGAGATTGTCCGGAGGAGTTGTGGAATCTTTGTACTTCTAGATAATCAGAACTCTATTGGTCACTGTCCTGAGCCAATTGCTTTAGTAGTGGGTTTGGACTGATGATCTCCAAGACATCTTTGTCAACCTCAACCATTTGGTATTTCTGTGATTGCGTGATTTCTGGGTTCAAAGGCAATTTTAAGAAATTATAAAATACACTTTTAAAAACTTTTTGCTTTAAATGCTTCAGCTTGCTCTGGGAACAAATAAAAGCTTTTGCCTTATGATTTTTTTTGCATGGAAAGTTGTTGTAATTGTGAAGTGAAGCAATAACACAACAAAGCAAAACTGTTGAAGGTAAATAATAAACTTGGGTATATCTTCTCCTTTCCTGCATTTCATAGCCAGAGTGAATGACACAGCAGCAGAAGTGAATGCTGGAGGAAGAGGGTTCATTCAGAAAGCACTAATTCTTGTTAGCTGAAAGCATAATCAATAACCATATAGCAGAATGGAGAGTGTTGTTCTGCCCTTTGGAAATCTGCTGTTGCAAAAATAGGTATGGTGACTCTCATATTCAGGACAACTAGCTAAAGGGCAATTATAGACAAATTCCTTCAATTTTCCCTGTAATTAGAGTAATTATATATCCGACATACCTATGTCCCAAGCTGTGATCATGCTAGTAAAAGTAACTTGTTTTCACAAAAATCTTATTAAGCTGCATCATCATTGGCATTAATCTTTCCCCATTAAAACATTGTTATTTCCAATAAATTAAGTCCAATGTATTGTGCTTTTTGTACTGCAAAATCTATCTGTACTTTTCTTGAATGCAAAAGGTCTGAAGCAGCTGTTAATGTAGAGAAGTCTAACAGTATAAATCATTTGAATTTCTCTTCAGTTTGATTCTAAGCAACAGCTGCTTTAATCTATTTCACACCACATTATGTTTGTAAAACAATGCAAATTTGGCTGTGTTTCAGTGGTTGACCTGCTTGTCTGGCAAGTCTTAATTCAACAGTGTTACAGTTTTACTGTCATTTATAAAAAAACAATTGATTAGTTTTCTGGGAATTCTCTGTCTGGATGTTTTCCACCTTATGTAGTATAGTAATAGATTGATTTCAGTTGGAGCACATGATATTTTCTTCCCATGGAAACATACATATCTGATCAAATTTTTAGCTGCTGTATTCCTTGTAAATCCAGTTAAGGGATGGAGTAATATGTGTTGTGTATGATCTTTCCTTGTGCACTGATTTTTACAGGGCAGGCCTGAATAGAATATTCCTGAAAATATTTACTCTACAGTCATCTAAGTCAAAGTAGCTACTTTTACACAAACATCCTTTTCACTTACTCTGAAAAGATTGAAAACCACCAAGATTATTTTTCTGTCTGCTTTAATATTAAGCTTGAGATAGATGTGATCAAAACTATTTAAGAGTAGTTTTGCAAATTCTGATTGGCTTTTCTCATTTTATGTTCATACATCTTTTCTGTTCAAGGAATTTTAGGTGCTTGCTTATTTGAAGAGTAGAGAATTTCTACTTTTTAAGTGAACATACTCATATATGTAGTTACCATGCAGATTGTTAAAACAAAAAAAACTGTAAAATGCTGTGCTGTTACTGTAGTTGATGCTATTACATGCATCAAAACTTCTTAACTTTGTTTATAATATTTTTAGACACCTAAAAGCAATGCAGTGCCAATACATGGTCAGGAAACACTGTCAGGCAAACCCTGGTAGGACTTGCTGAACTAGTTAAATCAGCACGTTTTTCAAGAAGATATAGCTCTCGATTAAAGAGCTGGCAGAATAGAGCCTTTTACTGCACCTCAGCTGTTCCATCTTACAGCCCTGTACATGAGCTTAACTGAGCAATACAAGTTGTTTTGCAGTAAGACACCAGATTATGAGTTGGAGCAGCTGAGGTGCAGCAGGTTTTGCTGTATCTGGAACAGGAGCAAGAATTTCTGGCAAAGGGTCAGTAACAAACAGCTGGGATGGGGGAGAAGAGGCAGTAAGGTCTTAGCCACTACAGCTGTTTGCTTAGTGAATATGGGTCAGAGCCTTGAGAGAAGCACATACTCAAAGACACTTGGATAGTTCATGAACCACCTGTAGCCTGAAATGCATTCACAGGGAGTATTTGTTGGACAGCTGTAAATAATGAGTAAAAGTGTCCATGTCTGCTCTTGGATCATTTGCACAGAGCAGCAGAAGGCTATATGTGTAGTATAAAATTTCCTTTATTAAGTTCACAATCTTGTACCTGGACTCTGAAGGTAAATTATTTTGAATGGAAGTTAGTTTTGGAGGGTGTGTTCTTGTAACCAGTATGTTCTTACTTTGCAAAATCCATTCAAATTTCTGCAGAAAATGGCACTTACTACTTACAGTACTGACATAGTTCATTAAGAAATACCACAAAAGAATTCAGAGGAGATTGAGGAAAAGAAAAGCTATGACATCAGCCAAAAAGACTCTCAATGTCAAAATATTCACTCTGTTTATACCTTTTTTTCTTCTGAAAGTTCCTTAACCTTGCCTGTGAAAGGCACTCACAGCTATTATTTATTGACATTCATATCTGTAAAACATGTGACCACTGCCCAAGCATCTGGTTGGATTTACATTAAAAAAAACTAAGAAATAATTCACAACATATTACCAACTATTCTAGAGAAAAGAAAATCATAAAGTG